ATACAGAAAAAATTATATAATTTACACGCATAGTTCTACTGCAGTAATTGAATCAAAAAATATTATAATTCATATTTTTATATGACCAAAAGATAAAAACTCAACTTCAGTATATAATTATTATCGATTAAACTAATAAATGAACATTGGAATTCATTAACAGAAAAAGTATAAGAAAAAAAATCCTACTTTCTTTTTCGCCTTTTATTACTCTTAATTAAAAGTTCGAAAAAATGAAAGGAAGACTCTGAACTAAAAATGAAACATTGAAACCTCTGAGTTTTAATTGATTACACAGATATTAGATCAAAGTTTTACACAGTAAAAAATATTTTATATATTTCTTAATCGAACCCAATCGTTTGCAGTTATCCTCCTTAAGCATTAGCCTACTTCTAACAGAAGCATTTATTCTATAAACTGTTTTTTCTGTTGAGTTAATTTCTCATGCTATAATATCAGTATTCACATTTAATCCAATCCTTTGACAACAAAACAGCTTTATTTCTAACTAAAAGGGTTCAATTAACAAGCTCTACATTAAAGGTAAGCACACCTCGTGCTTCAATCAACTACACCTAACAGAGATGATTTTATTAATTAAGATGTATCCGCAGCCTTCCCATAGCCAAATTATAGCCACGACATTTTCAAAACAGCAAGACCTTCGGAAACAAATTAGATTAATATTTTCGAATTTTTTTTTAAATGTAAATAAAAGATGAAAGGTAATAATCTTGTATGCAAAATCTTCAACCTTCCACACCAGATTTTTTTAAAAAAGCGATAAAGATTGTCTGATTATAGACGATCATCTACCAGATTAGAGAAATCATCTATTAAATTCGCGAAGAAAAATTATTTAGATCTTAACATTAAGTCTGAAACGGGATAAGAATCTACTTTCATTTCTCTACTCAATTATATCTTTATTTTTATCTAAATATTTCAAATTTTATTGAACTCGTACTCTTCTTCTAAAATAGAACACCTACGTTGAGAAATTCTTTCTATTATTTGAAAAAGTAACACTTAAAGTATTAAAATTTTAAACGTTTTGTGTGCGATTTAAAAACATTGCTGTTATATGTGACTAAACAATAGAGAAAATTATACAGTTATTGCAGTTTGATGCTAATGTTAATACAATTACTTATTGTGACGATGCCACAATAAGTAATTGTTTGTATTAAGTAAATATGATTTCAAAATGCCGGGATGCATTTTGAAATTATATTTTAATTCAAAAACAACCTTTCCGTATCTGGTCTCGATTTTCATTAACTCCGTTCTACAGATTAACGAAGGACGGACAGATGTAATCTACAGATCCGCAATTTGAAAATTGCAGCTCGATAAATTTAGCTGCAGCATTATATAATTTTATAATAGTATAGTTTACACCATTATTGAAGAATTGCCATATTTGAAAATAAGCGCTAATCTTTTGTAAAAATATAATAAATTAATCGTTAAAATCCTCAAATCTATAATTTAATATTATTTTTTTTTTAATTTTTCATTGAAAATATTCCACTTATATTACCACTATATTTACACTGAATTTCCGAGATACACTTGCTCTTTATCTAATATCTTTCATTTTTGTAATATTTATAAAAGACATTAATAAGTTATATCTTTGGTTTTTATGAAGAAAAACATGAGTACAGTATCTCGAAAAATATTTTAAATATATTATTATTATATTCATTATTTTAATACAGATCCATCAAATACAATGTGTTTTTATTTATTTATCGAAAATTATCTTTTATTTTAACAAAAGATAACTTATATTAGTTTGCAAAACGGATAAAAAAATATTCTTGTCTTAATCAGACTGGAGTAATATTAAATTGTTAATATTTGGAAATTCAAATTTATATGGCCCATTTCTTTTCTTAAAATTTAAACAACTTTACAGGATATGTGAAAAAAATTAATAGCAGAATTGCACGCGATTCATAAAATCAGAATGAATCTAACACACTAAAAATATATGTACAATTTTAAAAATTTTGATAGGAAACGAATAAAAAAGATTTCCTGATTCATCGATTTAGACATTCCGTATAAATACATGCCGTCCTGTCACAACATGGCTCTTCACTGACGGAATCACTGACTATTTATCAAAAATATTAGATAGAAAAATGAAAGCAACTCGAATTTCAAGTTCAATTTTTCTTGTTTCTTTCGAATAAAATCTTATTTTTTAAATAATATACTGTTTTAAAAATACACCAGCACCACAAATATTTTTTTAAGTAACATTTTTTTTTTAGTTTAGATATTTAAACGAATAAAGCTTGCAAATAAATCTGTTTTTAGCAAAAATTTCCAGAAGAATAAAAAGTAATTTTTTATGTAATTGGACAATTAGGATCTTTAATTAGAAGATAAATATTTGAAAATTGCTTACGAAATGCTTTAAATTATGTAGATTAGCTTATTTTACATCTCTATTGTTTAAATATTTATGTGTATTCTATATACCGTACTTTTCCCTTAAAATAAATATATTTTAATATTTATGTAATTACAGACCATTATAGGCTACATAATTAACTGTACAGTTTCACATTTTATTTTAAAAAATAATTGGAAAAAAATTAATTTGTTAATAAATGTATCTAATAATTAATTTGAAATAAATGTAAATTATTGTCGACTTATGTTTTATTATGCTTTAATTATAACTTTTTCCAAGTTACTTGATTATATTGCAGAATTTCTGTAATATAATCAAGTTTCTGTAATATAAAATGCTTTCAGAAACTGAACTATTTCATTAAATGTCTGAAGAAGAAAAATGTTTTCAAATATATATATAGGCTATATTGTCATGAAATTTTCCTCGAGTTTTCTTTCTTCTCTCAGAAAACTATAATGCATTTCAATATTTGATAAACACTTTTTCCTAAATCAGAGGTTCCCAATCTTTTTCATGTATCGACCCTTTTTAAGAAAAATTTTATCCATCGACTCCCTTCATTATATTATATACTATATATTATACAGTATTATATATAAATATATACTGCATATGCCGTAGTATTTTACAACATTTTTTATAAGACATCTTCCTACATTTATTTAAGAGCAAAAAAAAAATGTAAAACTTTTAATATTTTTAAATAAATTTTTTATATTTGCAAACTTTTATCGACTCCTAAGGAGTGAACACGGATCCCATTGGGAAACACTGTCCTAAATACATTACTTAATGTGTAGATGAGCTAACGAAAAAGGAAAAAAGTGGAAGCAAATAATTTAAAAATATTCCGTAATCAATATATATTAAACAATCGTTTAATTTTAATATTTATTGATTACGGAAGTTTTGGAAGTAGAAAGAACATCTCACGTTTAATATATCACCTGTAAATAAGATTTATATTGAAAACAATAGATTTATTTTAAATACATTTCAATTTTTTAATAATTTTCTTTTTACTTAAATACGCATCAACGTAAAATTTTTCAGTTACCAAACAAAAGAAACAAATTTATTTCGATCAATGAAACATAAAACTTTCGTGTTAGATTGCACATTGGTATGGTTAAATGTCGTTGCCATGGCGATTGGGCAAATTTTCTGCTTCAGCAAAAGTAAATTGTTATTTGGAATCCGATAGTTTTCTTTTGTTTGTCTGTTTTAAAACAAATATTAATTCGGTGCGTAAAAAATTAATATTTCACTTTATTAAAAAAAATCACTTCGATAAAGTAAAGGTAGTGTACTTAAAGGTTTTTTTTTTTTTTAATGAAGTGCTTTGCAGTTTCGAACTAAGAAAAATGTAGATCTATATGAAAATATAATAAATGATAATAAAAATTATATTCACATACCTTACTTGGTATGCCGTTACGGAACGTGAATTTAATGCTATCACGCTTCTCATAGATAGAGAAGCCAAGTTCATTATTGCTTTCTCAATATTGTGAAGTTGGTATGCAGCGTCTTAGAAATGAAAGTCTGTAAGTAGAAGGAGATATCAGTCCGACATCATTTCATTTAGACATCTTTGGCTTCGGGCAGAGCGAGTACAATAAAAGGATCTGTGGGAGTTGTCACCAGTCTTGTAATATGATTTCGTAACAGACCACCCTTAGGTTGACACAGTCAATGTGATTAAGATATGATAAGACAGATCCACGTGACACTATATAATGACTCTCAAAAACAACTGTGAAACCAATAAAGTCGTTTTCTAAATTTCATCTCCTGGAGAGCACTCTCCTCTTGAAACAAAAACGCTATTTTCCCCCCTAGTATATTTCACTGTAGCTTTTTAAGTATTAAATTAAATTGATTGAAATATCTTCGCAGCAGAAATTATAAAAACAACTTCAAAAATTTCATTAGTTGGAGAAATAAAAGACTTGATTTTAGTGTAAAAATATTCGTTTTTTTTTAAACAACTATCAATTATGTAACAAAGTATGTACTGTACTATATTTAGTATAATAAAATACTATTTTTTATTAATCAAAATATTTTAATATATTTTCCTCAACGTTTTATAAATTATTTCTTTATAGTAGTATAATTTTAATTCAAAACTTTTTAATTTATTGTATAAAAACTTTGTATTAATAAAAAAAAATATAAATGAGGAATAAAAAATATTCGATTTCTTAGACGAATTATTAATTATAATCATTATGTTCTTCTAACTTACAAGTCTTTTTATGTAAAATATATACAGTAAACGATAGAAATCTACTGAGGTTAATTTTATAAGTAATTTACTAATTTCTATCACTTTTCTTTGTACTATATATATTATATTAAAGTAGATTAAAGTAGAAGCAATTATAGCATAATATATGCAGTTAACATAGCACAAAAAAGGTGCTTAAAACTTACAATCTTAAAGAATAATAAATAGTAGTTCTGCATTGAAAAAATATCGTTTCCTACATACCATGTATATATGTATGTATGTGTATATATATATATATAATTAAATTTAGTAAAAAAAGATTCTCACCAATATCTGTTGATCCACCCCAAGTACCTTGATGGGCATGACGAGCCAATTTTGTCATAATATCAATATACGTCTTGGAAGAAGACAGACATCCTGCAAAGATAAATGAAACTATAGTCACCAGAGATAAGTGATTAACAATCATGGATGAAATACAAATGCTATTGCTTTGTCCATATTTTAAGATATGGAAAAATAAATTAAAAACAAAACATTGAAAAATTATGTTACTTTAACGATTTAGCAATGAGGTCATCACACTAAATATAACTTCTGAAAATAGCTTAAGAATATGAAACACACTCTTAACAGCAGAGTTCAAATTATTTTCCAATTTTGACCATAACTAGATATAGTCTTAATAATTTTAACGTTCTTTCTGTATTAATTACATTTATTAAATATTCACCAAATTTATTAATTCGAAATGAATATTCAATATAAAAGTTAATATTTTATAAATAGAAAAACAATTTAAATTAATTTAATAATACATTAAGTAAATGATAAAGATTTTATTTTTCTGTATATAAACAACAAGATCTCGCTAATATTTTAATTCATTTAAATGTAATTATAAAAATATTGTTATTGAAATGTACAGTAAAACCTGAATGGAACCTGGATAAAAAGGAAACATGCCTAAACAAAAAAAAAATTCTTCGAAACGGAATGATTTTCTACGATAAAAAGAACTTGTTCGAAACGGAAACATGTCAAACCTGAAAAAATATTCGGTACTGTGCGAGTCCAGTTTACACAGGTTTTGTATATAAATTTATACAAGTAACTATTAAATTTTTCAAATATCAGATTATATAATATCGGTACAAGCTTCAGTCATACATCTTAATTGGAACATTTTATTATCTTTAAGAATGTTTACAATGTTATAAGACAATAATAATTTTTGACGGTTTAAATTGTATAAAAAAAAAATCTCAAATAATTTTAGTATTTTAAATACAAGTAAATCACAAAAAATATAAGTATATTATGTATGAAATAAAATTATAATTATAAGCCTATTTAAGATTACAATTAAATATACAGCGAAACTTGGTTAAATTGGAAAGATATTCTGTACCGTGTGGTTCCGGTTTACACAAGTTTTCTTGTAATTAAAAATATTTAAAGTTATGCTTTATCTTTTTAAAACAATGTTTTTTTTACTTTAATTTCTGAAATAGTTTCTATTTTTTTTTTTAAATTTAATGTGCTAAAGTCGCATTACTTTCGATTGATATCGCTATATATATATATAATGTGTGAGTGTATATAGAACTTTTATAGCATGAAATTCTATCTTATAAAATCTTTCATTTGTGATTATGTTGAGATATCTGTTTTATTACTTAATGGATCATAGATGATAAACATTATAAACGAAATAAACTGAAGTTATCGTTGACCGCAAGCAAAGAAATAGTCTCAAGTGCAAAACTGGAAAAGTACCTCAAGCAATAATATTTGCTGGAAAGTATTAAAAAAATACTAAATTTCAATCGATAAAAGAAGATTCAGACAAAAAAAAACATATATTACCAGTATCTTTTTTCTTTAAATATTTGTACAACATTGTGTATAAATGTATTTAAAGAAATAAATTTAAATGTATTTTTTTTATAAGATTTTTTTACACATTAAATTATTCTTTAATATTTTCTTGCTAATTTCATTTTTTTCTGATTTTTAATTATAAAATGGAAACAATGGTAAAAAATCATTAAGGTTTTGATGTTTTTTTTTATCTGTAAGACTCGAGTTTATATTATTAAAATATATGAGTAATTAAATTAATCGGAAAAAACTTGTTTTGAGATAAACAAGATAAAGCAAATAAAATAGCGAAGTTGCAAAAGTTGAAATACAAATAAACTAAGCGATTCTAATAAAATGTGAAATATTTTCTAGTGGAAGATGTTTGCAAGTATTAACTCTCAAAACTGAAATATTAGTACAGATGATCTGTCAGAGGTCAAAAATATACGGGTACACCATCTTTCAGAATTTCTATTATATTATATATAAACAAAACGGCATTAAAAATACATCAAAATAATAAAATAATTTAACAAAAAAAAAATATATATATATNAAATATATGAATTCTGTAAACAATTACTTAGACATAGAATTCACATACACAAAAATAGCACCAAGCCCAGATCAAGTCCCATGGAAGAAACTATATATAGTAGTATATTGTTAAAAATGAAACATGGTGATATCAGACAAAAATTTCTCGTTTTATAGTATTTTATTATTATTGACACTTCTATAGAATCGGGGATAAACAGCGTTGCATTGTCGCAATTATTTTCCAGACAACGAAAGTACAATCTTTAAAAAAAAAAAAAAAAAAACAGTAATATCTATGAAATAACTTCATACTTCATTTAAATAATTAAACTGTAGGCCTATTTTTCAATTCATTTTATAAGAGTATGAATAGGCTAAATAATAACACACAGTTAGGTCGGTTTTCAATAAATTTCAGCTTTTTTTATATACAAATTATAGAAATTTTTATAAATCAATGTATTGTGAGTATAACAATTAAAACAGATCATACTTCAAATCTAACTTTAGCCAAGACGGATAATAAATACACAGATTTTATGAGCCGGTTTAATGCAAAATTGTTACTGTAACTGCGTGTAACATGTTCATATCAAGAAATTATTGCTCTATTAATACAATAAAAATATTTCACAATAATTGTTACTGTCCTGTTAAAAATAATTTTCCAATATAAACAATTCAATTAAGTTAAATTTCGCACATAATTCTTGAAAGGAATGTGAAAGTTTTTGAAATTTATATCTCAGCTTTAATATGTAAAACAGACAAAATATTTAATTCATTCTGCAATAACGTATTTAAAATATTTTACGAGTCCTGTACTAGGTTTTTTTTTAAAAAAAAGCTTGCAAAATTTAATTAAGGATGAAAAAATAAAATACAAGATAAATTAAATTCAGCAATTTTACATGACAAAGTAACAGTAATTAATGTAAGAAATTACAGAATTCAAAAGTAAAAATTCAACAATAAGTAAAGATAACTGAACGAGATCAGAAGTTTATCAAATAAAGATTTTGAAGTAGATCAGGAGGATGTAGAATTGATGTAGGAAGAGAAGATTCGATAAATTTGGACGCTAGAGCAGTTAATAACACATGTGGCAGGTGAAGACTCGATGCCATAAATAAGAATGACGTAGACGATATGTCGGATAGTACTGAATGAAAGTAGAAGCAGTGGGACAAGAGCCTGGACAGAATAAAATAAGAAAAGAAACAACACCGGGAAACGAGAAGAATTCATAAGTTGTTGGATAAAGTCTTAGATAACATATAAATATTCATTTTGATTTAGTAAAATACAGATTGATTTTACTAAACACAAAATTAATTATAAATACAGTATAACCTCCGAATAGAAGACACCATCGTGATAGAGAAGTTTGTCTGCTGTATAGAGGTGTTCGCTATTAGGAGCCAAATATAATAAACGTCCCATTTGAAGTGTCTGAGAATTGTAAAAATGCCCACTAAGTAGAGGTGTCCACTAATGGAGGTTTCGCTATATTTATATTTTCACTAATCAGGAGCATCTTCAGACAAACAGCATTAGATTTGTCACTGTAAATTCAAAAATTTCGTAGCTAAAGGCAAAACAATAAAGAAAATTTATACAAACACAAGTTCAACTTTTGAAGCTATAAAAAAAAGGACACAGTATACCGTTGTATACTATATCAAATATGACACATTTTATGTTTAAAAATAAAGACAACGTTCCGTTATATACGCTAGAGAATTCTACAAAATACAAAATTTTCGGGGGGTGGTCTTTAAAAATTAATGGCTTAATGTATCCAGTACAGAATAAAATCCGATTACAATCAACTTTAATAATAAATCTATTGTACTCAAACGAAATAAATAATTTAATTTCTTTTAAGTAGATGCGGAAGAGAAAATTCGCGATAAAATTTTATTATAAAAAAAATATTTTACGTAAAATATATTAAATGTTGCTTTGTAATAAATATTTAATTCTATAAAATTTTATAGTCTAAAGAATTTATGCGTTTAGCAAAAATATGTCATAGTTGATAATTTATAGTCACCAATACCGTATTTCATTCGATTTGAATTTGTTATTACAGCAGTTTAACATGATAAATTATGTATCATCTTATCTGTGTAAATCTACAATATCATTTTTATAGTTTCGGCAAATTAAAGTTATATTCGAATAAATTTTAGCGTTTTATTTACTGTCGCAAAGTATTACAATTTGAGATGTTTCTAATAAATTTTCTTGAAGAATTATTAAATTTTTTTTCTATTAAAAAACGCAGTTTTGTATCAAATACACGTAGTTAAATAAATAAAAGCTAAGAAACTTTCTGACGGACACAAATTTAAGTAGTTTAGAGAATATTGCATTTTATATAACGAAATTTTATTTAATATAATGCATTAAATTAAAAATACATTTTAGAAGATTTGCATTTTAGAACACAACTCATTGATTAACATCACGTTTTTTAATTTTTAATTTAATTTATTGATCGAAACGGGAAAAAACTCTATATAATCGCTGAATTAATAGAAAAAAGAATTTCCTAAAAGGAAAAAAAAAATAAAGCGAAATTCTAATTTAAATCAACAAAACTTTTTATAATTAAGCGTACATTTTCATTAAAATTTCATTTATAAAATTAATTTTATAATCGATAGATAAGAAATATTAAAATAAAATCGAAAACTTTCTTTCTCTTTTTTATTTTTTATATCTTGTAACGTTGATATTTGAAGTATTTTTTCTTGAGTAGCAAACTTATTAGTTTTCATATTATAACAAAATTAGTTTTATAAAATTAGAATTTATGATTTAATAGCAAAATATATTTATTCTTGTTTTATACATCATTTGTTTCATCATATCTGCAATAAAAATAAATTATTAGTTTTAAATAATAAAAAAATTAATTTTTATTCTTGTGTACTGCATGAAGCTACTGTCTATTATGCAGTTACGATGCAAACTCTAAATGTGCATAAATGATTTAGCAGAGT